TAAAGGTTTAAAACAAATAATAATATCAATAAAACACTACAATATTTTTGTAAATAAAGACTTCAAAATCTTATAACCACTTTAATATTACAACTCGCATAAAAAAATGTCTAATCACGTTAACAAATAACTTCGTTGTGTTAATCAACTGCGATAAATGTATAATTAATTATGTAGTAGCTTCTGTTAGAGTTTGCATTTGTAAGTTTGTTGGCATCCTAGGTCCGTTTAATTGTAGTTGATTCTACTAGCGAGTCATTCTTTTGTATGCGTATCGCATCGGATTTAACAACATTTACCACTGACTATGTGAACAAATCTCATAAAGCATATGTCACATACATATGTACATACAATACATCACTATCACTCCTTACTATATTGTTCAAAATCAACTGTTTCTGTATCCTTGTTTTTGTTAAAAAATGTAAGTACATAATTGAAAACCACTTTCTAGTTCGTTTAATACTGAATAACATATACATACAAATTACATTACATACAAAAAAATCATAATGTAGGGTATTCAAAACGATTTAAATATTTTGGTAATCTTAAATGATTTTATTATTAAATGTAACCACCAATTACGTATACAATTCATTATTTTTATTTTTTTGTAATGAAATAATACATGATAATTTATATAAAATTTCTGAAAATTGGTTCTTAAAAAAGAGTTTTGTATTTCGCTTCTTTATATATTACGAAGTGATCGGTTGCTATAAATATGGAGTATGTATGTACATAAATTTTGAATTCATTTCTACTAGTCCAACAAAATGTACGTATACATGACTAGTTCCAAGCTCCAATACCTACACGTTTTTCTTCCTCTCTAAGCAAGTGCTTGTATCCTCGCCATTTTATTGCGTATCTAATCCGGAATGAATCTTGTCTTAGCATTGAATCGCTAGCCAATCAGAGCAAAGAAATTTCTACTCCTATTCTTGTTAACGGTGCGTGCTGCGGCCAGAGAGTCTTCCAGAACTTAGGTACATATTATTATATGTAGAAGAAAAAAGTGCATTGGTAACGGTAACAAATGAGGATTGTGTCAATATTATATAATATTGCATTAATATACTTTTTTTCGCTACTTCTAGTAAGGACGCTAAAATATTATAAAATTGATAAATTTTGTCAAATACATATACGTACATACAATGCAACTAATAATTGCATATATGAAAAAAGGATAAACTCTTAAGAACTATTTTATCTTCGTTCTGATTGGTTAACGAATTCTTTGAGCTTCGCGTTGATTCTGTTACGGCTACGATGAGTCAATTCATATAACGACTTATGAAACACCTTGTATATTAACAATACTATCATGGATTCAACAATATGGCACTGAGTGATTACCTTCGCAATTGACTATATATTTCATTACTACGGTTATATGTTGTTGATATTTACGTATTGATACAACAAACGTACACTAAGGGAGGAGAAAATGATATATGTGTAGTGTACATATTAATGAGTTCACAGTTCATTAAGTAAGCGGAGCGGTTGGATTGAGCAATTCTAACCTTACTCCAGAAATTTCACCTCTGGATTTCACGCGTGTTTCTGTTGCTTATATCGGTAACATTTTCTATTTTTGGAAATAAATGTACTTTTTAATGCATTTTATATTATTGTTCACAAAGACATAAGAAATAGTACAATTTTTTCTTTCTATCTGTAATATTATCTAGTGATATATATTCAATGTATGCATGTGATAAGAATTCATACAGCACATCTAATTTATACAGAATAACTTTTAAGTATATGAATAATTTTTAATTTTTTGTAATTTTTTGTACTTTCAGGAATATAAAATAGTACAGCCATAATGAATGTCAATCCACGAGTATTTTTTGACATAGAAGTGGGCGGTCTCCCAATGGGTAGAATAGTGTTTGAATTGTTTGCTGATATGTGTCCTGTAACATGTGAAAATTTTCGTGCTTTATGTACTGGAGAAAAAGGACTTGGAAAAACAACTAATAAACCATTGAATTATAAAGGAATTGTTTTTCATAGAGTAGTAAAGGATTTTATGATTCAGGGCGGTGATTTTTCAGTAGGTAATGGAACAGGTGGTGAATCAATTTATGGTGGAACATTTGCAGGTAAATTTATAAACACTGATTCGGTTAAAAGCATTGATAGAGATTATCTTATAAAGAACAATGTATAAATTAATTAAAATAATATTTTTCAGATGAAAATTTTATTATAAAACATAATAAATCATTTCTGCTATCAATGGCGAATCGTGGCAGAGATACAAACGGTTCACAATTTTTTATGTGAGTATTTATACAAAAAAAGTATTTACATTTATATAAGTATATATCTTTTGAAGAATGTAAATCTGTTAATTAATTTCACACTAGATAAAAGAGTGCAAGATGACGTGATAAGTTTAAAATATTATAAAATGAATGCATTATATCTTTCTACCAAAAAATTTATTTTGCATGTTACTAATAATTGAAGCTATGCGCTTACTAAAAT